TTTTTAATAAGCATTTTTTGTAAGTCTAATTGTACGATTGTTAAAGCGTATTATCAACTTCATATCATATGACTAATTTAATTATTTCTTACATATAACTGTAGTCATGTGCATTAGTCCATTCATTATAGAGTATAATGACACTGTTATCGAGATTCATTATATCTTAGAAGAAAACCTAGAAAAGTTTAGAAAGTACAGTACTCTATAAGTTAATTAAAACATAAACCATAAGATTAAGACAAAATGTTTATCTAAAGATATTGGATATCCGAATGATCCTTTTCCCGCTGCTGTGCGATCAAGGATAAACGAGCATGAATGATTAACTGGAATAAGAAAAGTGTGAAGAAACAAGAATTTCTTATGGTAAATAGCAGTAAGTCTTTTCTTGTTTTATTGCGTCGATTTCAACAGCTCTCCTCGCTCGAATATTCATAAGTAGTTAACTATAGACTCTGCTTGTGCATGATCGATTAAAGTAGTATGAAGACGATTGTTGTTATTTGTAGTGAAGTTGTCTTGTACTTTTCTGTATTCTCAGTTTTTTTTTGTCTTCTGTTCTGTTTTACCTGGGTACATATGTGTATATTAAGATCAATTTTTTGTTGATGCCTGTCCAACAAATATTTTCTTAAATCGTCTGACTATTTGCAATGATTAATAATAACAAAATTTTCGAATGGTGAATTATAGTTGACTTGTAAAGAGATATAAGCACAAATATCACCATGTCATGTTTATAACCATAAGATGAAAATAATTCATCTGTTTTTCTTTTGCGATAAGCCGAAACATTTGCTCCTGTACAAATAACATGTGATTACGACTTTTTACTCTGTTTGATCGGGAAAACTCGTTTGAAAAAATCGACAGTAGTTGATCAGTGAGGAATGCACCTGAAAAGAGAGCAATTTTGTGGATTTTTTTTCTGTATGAACACTATATGTATAAAAGTGATACCGCCGCAAATACGGTCTTTTTGTCAGGAGAGTTCTCTATAAGATGTGTGTATCAACCTTGAATTTTTGTTTGTACTTGCTGCTAGAGAACATCAAGGTTTTATTTCTAATTATATCCTTTTCTCTCGATATATATTGAACAACAAGGTTATATATAAGAAGAGAAAAAATGAAGGTTCTATTTAGTATGAAGAAAACAGAAGATGAAGAAAAAAAAACACAATTTTCAGATTCTCTCTGTACATGGTAATACTGTTGTTGTTTTTGTACAAGGACAAGTTTTTTTCTTTTTCTTCTAGTATCGTGACAATGAAAAAAACCTCTAATTTTATTATTGTATTCTTCTTTTTCTCTATTGTTTTTTTAAACTTATTTTTGAGAGATAGTAGACAGGCGGTACTAAGGATATGTAGGATAACTGAATTGATGGTAAACAGTCCAATGTACTTATCGGTGATCGTCCCGGACCACATTTTTCCACCCGATCCGTATCTGGGCTCAAGAATTTTGGCTTGATCCGGTCCTAACCGGAGAGAATACATAAATTTTTGGGAGGGACCCGTACGAGTCGGATTAAATACATTCTACGGACCACCCCGTAGAATGTATACGGATCGAATGCTCAAAGGACAGCTAATTTCGTCAGTGACATTTTCAAGAGAGGATAGTGATGTAAGCGTTGCCTTTTGATGTTTTATCGACTTTTTGGTAAAAGGGCTGGATCCACATTTGGACGATCAGATAGTAGCTCGGTTCGATCCGACCCACAAATAACTTTCCAAAGATTGGCTCGGCTCGACCTGTGTGCCAATTCGATTTTCCCGGTCCACGATGATTTCTGTTACCTGTAACTCCGTTTTATTACAATGTGTGATGAACAAAAGATTGATTTGTTGTGGAAAAGAACGTTTTTGCCTCTGTTCAAGGTCTCTCTTTTATAGTTAGACTATGAAAGACTGAAAAGTGATTCTACAAAATATTCTTCTTCACTATTACTCCTTTCAATCATATTCTATAGTATAAGCGAGATGAATTTTTTTTAAAAATTCTATATTATTTAGACTCTATTGAACATGACATCAAAATATAAACGCAATCTTATGTAGGATTTTTCTCTTTTCTTTTTCTAGTTACACGAGAAATACTCTCTGTTTGATTCGCTACATCGCTACAACATATGATTTTACTTTGTGGTTTGGAGCATTTTTCTTTTCTTTTTTTTTCTTCTTTTCTTTCTTTTATTCGTTTTAAGCTACTTCAAACTGCATTGAGATACATGGTCTACTCTACTCATCATATACTCAATAAAATAATTTTTTTCTATTTCTTGCATTTCAAAACATACTATTTCGTTCGATTCTGTTTTTTTTGTGCACTCAATAATCTTTTTTTTCTCACATATGGCATCAGTCAGTCTCGATTTATGTATATGTGGGAATCTATGTAAGCTGTACTTGTTCGCTAGATTGTTCCAGATTTGCGACTAACTTTCTAGAAAAGAAGATGACAGCAATCACGTCATATGAGAGAATTTGATAATTATTAGATCACCATATTTAATTAGTCAAATGGTAAGAAAAGACATTCAATTGAACTGAAAGTTTCTTATACTAGTGATTACTTAACGGTACAGCAAATAAACTGAACGAGTAAACTGAACAATAACGAGTAAGTATCAAGGTATCCACTACCAGAGCGATGCAAGCACAAATGGTGTTTTTTTTTTCGGTGCACAAATTGGTGATCACCACGATAATTTAAGTGTATTTTTTCAGAAATCCGTCTAAACCATTTAAGACTTGAGGTGGTAGATAGATTTGTGCTTCAACATATATTAGTGTATCTGTAGATGTATGACGGAGACTCTATAAAGTTTTCATGTAACGCTAGCAGTGATGGTATTTTATTACTTCAGAATCAACGATTTTCACAATGAAATGAATTTAATTTAGTCTCTCTTTTATACAAAGCATATGAATGAGTGCGTATAGATGAACAGAAGTAGAAGAGGCTGTATGTCGTTTTGACAAACTATCTATAACTGCACTCATAGAATCAGAAAGAAACAAAGCAGAAAGTATGAGGACATACAGACGTCTTTTTTACATTTTTCATTTGTATCAATAAGGTTAACCACATTATATTAACAACTATATTATATCTATTCAATATGTGTTCACTTATTGTCATCATGTGTTTAATTATTGTCATTGAATTATCGCTAACCTCATTTTTTTTGTCTTTTTCATATACAATATACGTTTTACACGTATTGAACTTGAAAGTTACACTTATTGAACTTGATCTATTTCTTAAGTATAGTATTAAATTATAACACCTTTTTAATACTTATTATCTGTTAAAAATTCAAGAAATTTTTAGTCCCTTGTATTAGGAAATTAAAATTCTTCGAATTTAACATTGACTATTTGTATATATGTGAGTATAGAGATTCAGTTTTTAGTGAACATTGTATAATATGTATAATCGTTTGTGATTACGTCCAAGTTTCAGTTGACTTACATAGATATATGTACAGAAAGGTAACAAGAAAGAAGACAAGAGGACGAAAAAGAAATGTGTATTGAGTAAAATGGTCGTTTAACAGCATAAAACAGACGAAGAAGGAAAAAACATCGAGTGAGACTGTATAAATATATATTTATATATATCAACCAAAACGGCATATATATATAGAGAGAGTGAATTTGTGTTTTGTACTCACACAGTGTGTAACGGTCAAAAAAAAAGAAAATGTTCAAAAATTAGCACAACCGTTTGTTTCATCAAACAGAATTGACTTTACAACTGGATCAGAAGAAAGAACGATGTTAAAGTATGTTAAAGAAACAGTCCGAAAACGGTCAAGACCTGGATATTATTTAAAAGGAAAATCACTATCGACATTGCATATGATTTACCTTTTTCATATCACAGTGCCCCTTTTGAGATGACAAACATTAATGCGCATATTTGATAAAAATTTCCAATATAATATTTTAACAATATGAACGATTTCTTTTACGTCCGTCTCAGAATTAGATTAACGACGAAAGAAGAATTTTGTTTTTATTTATTTTAGTTGATGAATTATTGCATTTCAAGCAGATTGTAGGACCTACGGGCTAAAGTAGATAGAAAAGATTTTTGTTATTTCTGTTCTTTTCTGATTAAATGTTTTCCAAATGTACGCATAACAAAAACGGAAAGTGTTTCTAGTCTTTTTGCAGACTACGGATCCATTAAGTTGACGTTTGTAAGAAAAAGCTATGTTAGATTACAAATACTATTACCAAGTTTCATTGTTGGAAACTCCCATTATTAAACTACATCAAGACTTCTTTTTCTCTCGTATTGGATTAATGATATTAGAGTTTAAACCTTTGTTTATAATGAACGATGAATATGTACGTTAATTAAAAAGCACTGAATGTTTTAGTCTACCCTCGGTTTTTTTTCTCACAACCATACCTATACACATCTATGACATTTTGTTGTACAACATACTTATACTTATAAATTTAGAAAAAAAAAGAGATATTCACTTTCATACGAGACATTTATACACTAAGTTTTTATATACCAGAAAGGTGAGTGAATAAAAAAGAACTATTTTTCGTAAGGAACCATGCGAAAACAATCAAACGAACATCTTCGAGTATGTTGATCCTTTTATTTTTCCAGTATTCATAAAGAAACTCATGTTTTATGATAGTAACATGAGTTGAATCTTTGAAGGATTTAGTATTGTTCAAAAATCTGAGCTTTGACGAAGTTAGTATTAACAGATATCCTCATACACTGTTTATTTGTCCTTCATTGAACTGAATGCACATGAAAGTAATAGAAAATAATGAAAATTGAAGTATGATCTTTTTTCTGTGCACTAGACTATTCGGGACTTTATCGTACATAGTATATTTTATTAAAATCGCGCAAAGACACTTATGGATGTTTCCGTGGTAGTTTGTCAAATTTTGTGTACTAAGTAACAGGTTACAAGAAGTACAAATATAACATATATATATATATAAGAAAATGTATGAAAGTGAGTGTTGTAATGACGCGTGTGTTTGTAATTTAGTGTTGCCCTTGCCAATATAAATAATTTGTTTAAGATGTTCCTTGGGCCTCGTACAACTTACTTTTTATAGTAGAATATGTCGAATAAAGAAGCACAGAACATGTTAAGTAACTTAGTTTGTCGTAAATTTCTAATAATTACTCAAATAGAACAGCAATCAGAATATGAATATTAAATTATATGTTGTGTCAGAAAAAACGTCGTTTTTTTGGGTATTTGTGTTATCCAACGCTAAGTCTCTTAATGTTAGGAATCTAAAGCAATTTTTGCAAGAAAATTTTATTTTGTTGTTCTAGAAGTTCATCAAAAAACTTGGTACAAATACTTATTACCGATAAAATCCGACAGACTGGCTCCAACTAAACGAAATAAAATTATCAGTCCAATCTCCACGGCGTTATCCTCATCAGTTTTATTAGCACAAAATCAACAGCAGCAGCAGGAACCGCCGCCATCTGAATCCATCGAATCATTACCAGATCATCCATTGATAACATCCTCACCGGAGAAAGGTCATGTAGCCGTCTTCTCATTAAGTAGTTCATCATCATCGAGTTTATCTTCTTCATTATCGTCGTTGTCAAGCATGGCTGCTACAGCAAGAATTACCGAACAAAATTCAGAAAATGGAGTGGGAACAAATCGACCAACATCAGCCAATTGTATAAAACGCTTTAATTATTGTTATGATGTGTCAGATGATAAATCAGCGGCAAACAATTGTTCTTCTCTACCACTCGCATCTTTCACATCATCATCGAATACTTCATCTTCCAGTTCGTCTTCATCAGATAAACAATCTGGACAGTCTTATTCACAACAACAACGTCGAACACCGAATTGTTATCAACAGTATAAACAAGCTAATACACCATACGAATATCAATTAACGTCACCTGTTAAACTACAAACAAATGGTACACAGACTATATCTACGAATACTAATAATAATCAACAGCAATCACTGCCACTAAATCGTTATTATCCTACTCGAACACAAACCTCGGCTAATAATAATGACTCTAAAAACTCTAATACAACGACAAATAATAATAATATCTATAAACCAATATCAACAGAATATTCTATCGAACAAAATTTATTTAATATTGTACGTTTCGATATAGTCAAAAATAATTTTTCCGACTACTACAAATTAGGTGATTTTGTTCGAAGTGGTGGCTTTTCCGAAGTACACGAAGGTGTTCGATTATCCGATAATAGAAATGTTGTTATCAAATTCATTCCAAAAGAGAAAACAAAAAATTGGTTAAGCATTAGTAATAAAAAATATCCAGCTGAAATTTTATTACATAAATGTGTTCACGAAATACAAGGTAAAAAAATTTTCAAAACATAACAGAAGTTATGTTCTTCAAGATGATTAACATTTGTCATATGCTTATAATACTATTACTTAACATCTAGTCGCTTTATTGTTCACATGAGAATTCTTCATACTAGAATATGATGTATACACTCTTCTGATCTTTCTTTATAGTTGAATTGAACAGAACAGTACTTGAACTTGAAATTTTGATGTTTTCAATATGATTATTACAACTTTTTCATTTGTTTCATTACATAACATGATAATTTATTATTTCTATATGCCTCTCTTCGTTTTTCTGTTTGTTTGTTCAGTTCATAATTTTTGAGCTACTGACAGTCATCATATATACAAATGAGTTTTATTTGAAAGAGAAAGAAAAAAAAACAACGAAACAGTTTTTTTCTCATCTAAACATATTTTTTCTTAGAATAATTATTGTGAGGTTAAACAGATGTTTATTCATCATTCTACCTTATTCGAATAGGAATATGATTGATGACAAAAGAATGGACTAATTAATTCTGATTATATAATACAGTTCTTTTTTTTATTTAATAATATTTCTATTGATGAAAAAAAGAAGATTATATTATGTAAGAAGAGAGTGACGAAAAATTTAGTGACGAAAGGTTTATTCATCATAATTTTTGATAACGATACACAATGAAAGACATAATTATTAACTAATCAAAAGAAGAAAATAAAATGCTGAGATAGTAGAATGAAGATCTTATGAAAATAATAAATAATAATATTCCCATGTTAATAATATGACTATCATATGATTGATTAGTTTTTTGAAATATATCTAATCTCAAAACATATCGAATAAAGATATTTTTTATGTTTTTAGGCGTTATACATATTCATGATTATTTTGAGTCACCTGAATTTTGGATACTTGTTATGGATCGTTTACGTCATTGTCAAGATTTATTTGATTATTTGGAAGCTAGACATCGTGGACGTTTAAGTGAAGCGGATGCAAGAAAATTTTTTATACAATTAGTTCATATTAATTTAGCCATGATACGTAAAGGCGTTGTTCATCGAGATTTAAAAAGTGAAAATATTCTAGTTGATTTAGATACAGATTCTCTGGTATTAATTGATTTTGGTGCAAGTGCGATTTATAAAGGATTATCATTTTATTCTGATTTTCATGGTACAAGACAATATAAAACACCAGAATATATATTAAAAAAACGTTATTCGGCTGTACCATCTACTGTTTGGACATTAGGAATATTATTGTACGATATGGTAAGTTTTGATATAAATAAATTTTTAATTGTTTTAATTAGTTAAACAACGGATAAGTTGATCGATCATTATTAACAAAAAAAAACTATCAATTTATAGTAGAAAATAAAAATTTTAAAATTCTTTTACTTTTAGGTAACTGGCCGTTTACCGTTTGAAAATGAAGAAGAGATAACACGTTATAAATTAATTCTAAAACCATTTTTATCAGCTGATTTAAAAAATATAATAGTACAATGTCTACAATTGAATCCTGATCGTCGTCCATCATTCGAATCTCTATTAGAACATCCATGGATTAAAAATGGTATAGGAACGTCGAACTAATAGTCACTGTTCTTCATTTCTATAATAGAAAATTTCGTATCACTTTAACAGAAAAATTATTTGTGTACGTATAAATTATCGTTGAAGAAAATAAGAAAACAGCATCAGTCCGGCCAAATTTATCTAATTTTTCTTTTTTTTTTTGTTCTACCATTCCTATGTGCTCAGTTTTCTCTTAATATTTTAAGTAGTGTGAGTGTGTATATTCTTTAAACAGTGAGTCTTTTTTTGTGTTACCCATATTTTTTACCAGGGGGTTTTTTGTTGGTGCTTTTTGTTAGATCAAATAACGAATCAAAAACACTCAGAGATTGTTGTTGTTTTTTCAACTTCTGAATTTTTAAAACGTTAGGTATTACAATAAATCAATTTTTGTATTTGTCCTTCTTTTTCATTGTAACAAAAAAAAACAAAAAAAAAACGAAACAAAAACGAATAGTCATCTAAGGTAAATGTAAACGTAGCTTCCGTTTATGTTTTTTCATGCTCATCTATTTATGTGCATTCTATAATTTGAAAGTGATAGATAAACGGTTGGTATCCTTAAAAGACATTTTTCTGAATTGTTTGCGATTCTTCCAGTTCATTAAATTTTTTTTTTTTGTTCTTTCTTTGGACACTTTCTGATTCAATGCTGTTAGTTTTTTTATCTTCTTGATCGAGGTATATACCGAGCAAAGAGGTGATGTTTGTTGTTTTGTTTCGTTGTAGACTTAGAATAGAAATATATGGAATAAAAAGACAAAAATGTCACTCCTAAATACATTTTTTGTAGCTGTTTTCTATACATGTTTGTTTGATTTTTATATTTTATTTTCTATCTTTTAATCACAACAGCAGAAAAATTTATTTTTTGCTTTTTTTTGTCTGATATAATAATATATTCATTCGTACTTCCTCATATGTACACACATATATAGGAAGATGAACAAAGTGTTTGTTTGCGTTTTCTATGTTTTTATTTTCGTTTTTGTTTGCACGTCACTACATTAATTTTGTTCGAGTATATCAGGTATAAATGTAGTAGACATTTGTATTGTAGTCATGTTTACTTTTGATCTGCATTTTCTCATTAGGGAAAAATATAGCATGAGTAAAATTATGACATTATAGATGAAACAACCAGTTAGGAGTAAACTCGGGTCGAACTTTCATGTGTAGTGTAACCTAACCGTTAAAGTCATCGTAAAAAATAGTATCATTCTGTTTATGTGTGTAGATCTATGTATATGTGTCAGCAAAATTTTGTTGTGCTCATAATGCAATTTTTTTTGTTCAACATTTTTCAATATAATCACGAGCACTCGTATGATAGTAATATCACTTGTTGCGTATTGATCTTCAAAAATGAGATCTAGAAAACTGATGTTCATGCACATTTTACAATGTTTATGTGATATCATAAATGCAATCTATATTAGAAAAACTCTAGGCAATAAAATTCCAACCGTTTTTTACCACCGAGTTTACTACTGTTCTAAAAACATTTTGAACATTGAATACTACCAATTCTTCGTAAGATGAAACGTAATAATGTACACCGGGATTTTAGTCATGAGACTGGTACCTCATAACAATGTAGCTAATATTAAACCAATACGTTCAGAATGTACTGCGGCGAGTTCTAGAATTTTCAATGAACATCGTCATTTCGTTATAGAATTTCTTGTTTAGATTTGTTTCGACTTATCAACTTGCGTTAAATCTTTAATTAATGATCAAAGTTTGGGATCAATTAAGTTATCTTCACCATCACTACTCTCCATTTTGAAATATAGTGTGGATGATTGTGAGTCAACACCGGAACAAGTAATAATATGTGGAAACTAAAACCAGACCCTAGCAACCTCTCGAAAATCCATGATTCGGGAGCTACGGGCGTTTTTCTTGAAGCCTTATGACTCTTCTGCCGTTAGGTTTGGGACTGTCAGAAATGAATGAAAACATAGGTTACCGACTATACTGAATCTGGTGGCAACATTTGTTTTCAAAAAAGTTTCCAAAACCTAGTGAAAACGTCCATTAGGTGAAATATCCCATTTTTGTCTATTTTTGAGTAAAATTCAAAAATTCATAACTCAGTCCATATCAATTCAGGTTATGCCAGAATATCAAGATGTACTCTATTTTATCTACTCCAAACGATTTTTTACTTGAGAATAGTAAAAAACCTTGTATTTCGGAAGGTTTATAGAAAACCCTTTCAAAACCAGAGCACTTTCTGACGATCCTTAAAGCTTCTATTGGATTGCATAGTATTGAGCTACTATTCTCAAGTAAAAAATCGTTTGGAGTAGATAAAATATCATAATAACATCTTGACAAATATCAAAATAACATCTTGATATTCTGACATAACTTGGATTGATATTGACTGAGTTATGAATTTTTGAATTTTACTCAAAAATAGACAAAAATGGGATATTTCACCTAATGGACGTTTTCACTAGGTTTTGGAAACTTTTTTGAAAACAAATGTTGCCACAAGATTCAGTATAGTCGGTAACCTATGTTTTCATTCATTTCTGACAGTCCCAAACCTAACGGCAGAAGAGTCATAAGGCTTCAAGAAAAACGCCCGTAGCTTCCGAATCATGGATTTTGTATCTGTAAAATTGGCTAAAGTACTGTGTGGTCAATATACTGAAGTTGTTTCCACGAGTTACATCATAAGAAAAGCACCATAATTTTCAACAATGAAAACGGTTATTATATGAAAATTGACTAAAGAAAGATGTGTAAAACATTGAATTTCGAAATAATTATGGGTGAAACAAGGTAGACAATCTCTAAGCGTATCAATAAATGGTAGAAAGTTAAGATAGTAGTGTCAATGATTCTAAAGATAAATTTGCGTTATGAATGTTTGTCCAATGTCTCATCGTGTATTCACATGTATATGGCAATGAGAACGATACAAATATATATCTGCATTAATATATGATCTATTTTGATTTAGAACTGTTGCTATCACCATTACTTTTGATGTATCGATTATTATTATAGCAATTGCTATACTCCATCATAAACAAAAGCGTCAAAGAAAAAGTCTGTGGTCGATAATTAGGTGTGCGTGTTTAGAAAGCCTGTCCACAATACGATGAGTGATTCGACGATATACTGATCTAATAACTGGAAAATATTTCTTCTAATCAAAACTTTCCTTCCTTTTTCTCTTTCACAGCATAGCTGCTCGCCATCATCATTTTACACAACATAAATATACACTCATTCTTATCCTCTTCGGATATCAGTTTATACAGCTCCTCCAATAGTAGAAAAGCCTTTCGCACATGAAATCTTAACAGATTTATAGAATGTATACCGGTCATCTGTTGTACAGAGACTATTTCGATGAAATAGTAAAAAACATCAACAAGCTGTATAGATGAATGGTTCAAACGCTATAAATTTATCTTAGGTCGACTACACGCAGGGCTGTCACGACCCTTCCAACTTTGGGAGGTATGTCACATATTAATGGTATATTATGTACGGTGAGTAACGTATTTTGAAGACGAAAAAACGTCGTCTATCCAGTAGAGGCCTGTGAGGTAGTTAAAAACGCAATTTGCCGTTCAGATCTATTTCGCGAAAAAAAAATTTTAACTCATTATCGGTGAAATTTATGCAATGTTCTAAGTACTCTTTTTATAAGTTATAATTAATTTCTGAGACAGATCTTAGCATAATATGGTAGTGGTGGTAGTCAGAGAAAAAGATTATACAGTGTAAAACACTGAAATCACGTTTCATTTGGAGAGTTGCTTTTCTCCATTCGAATCCGTAGGATTAATTACCTATACCCATTCAAAAGGTAATTTTCGAGGGTAAATAGATACATCTAATAACACTGCGGTGAACAACGTTGGTTTTAAAAGAAAACTAGATGAAATACGAACAGCAGAACAATAAAAAGACCCTATTGTTAGTACTGAAGAAGATGTTGGTATTGACAGTAACGAAGAATACTATTCTGATGATTAAAAGTGAAGTATATACCCATTACTTTTAATAATTCTTTAAAAAATCATATCTTGTCAACATGGAATATGTGTACATATACCAACACCAGTTTCTTCCAAAAATATGAAAACTTTTTCAATTCTACATGATCAAATCGTGGTATTTACGTCGAAAGTTATAGTAGGTATCTGGACTGATATACAAACAATGTGCTTATTTCGTGCACTTTTTCGTCTTCAGTCACGTCGTGGTCGCTCATTTTTACAATGTCAAGTTTTACAGTACACGTGAACAGTCGAAAAAAATCGTTAGAGAAAATTCCAATCAGTTTTACAAACTTTTTTCTTTTTTTTCTAAAATCAATTCATTGAATGAAAAATACAAATTTAAAAAAGAATCAAATAGGATTTCATTTCCTGTTTTCCATTTTTTTATGATCTGCCAGTTACAAAGTTATTCACTATTGTATAAATGGAAATAGGCGTTCACTCTGGAGATTAGCGACCCCTACAATAATGAATTACGAATATCTTTGTAACTGTAGCAGATCATAAAAGTAGAAAACAGGAAACAAAACTGTATGTATTTTATTCTTCTTTAAATTTGTATCTTTCATCCAATGAATTGGTTTTAGAATAAAAGTCATATTTCTGTGGAAAATCTGTAAATGATTGGATGAGTCAACGTATGGCTGACCATATATATAAATATAATACACAAGGATTGGTTCCTAAAACAAGTAAAGAAGTATATAAAGTAAACTTTTTATTTATCAGTTAGACCAATCATATTATTTTGGAACCTGATCGATTTAATTGACTAATGAAAAGTTTACTTTACTTATTTACTATAGTTACTTTACTTTTTTATTTGTTTTAGGAACCACCTATACAAAGCTGCTGAATGAGCAAACAAGTAGCAGTCAATGATTCATTGAAATTCGATTTGTAAAGAGATTTTTCGTCAATGTCTCTGCTGAAATTCCTGTTACTCTTCGGAAGATACTCGGACGCAGGCGACCTCTGTAAGATTGACTTTTGCACTAAGCAAGTAAGATTTACTGACAATCAACAAGAGCTATGTTTCTCTCGTGTTTTATCTATTATTTTTGTCCTCTGCGGTACATATTTCCACCATGTTGCTTTCTTGCTCTATAGGAGGCAGTCTAAAACGGGTTCCACATTTTTCTCCATAGACGACCAAGAGAAAGTTGTGAATGAGAATGAGAAGAAAAAAGATGAACTAAATAAAGAACAGAATTCTGTGGGTTTTCTACAAAAAAAAGTCTCTAGTTTGTGATATGGAGGGTTTTGGTAAGAAAAATTCGTTAGACTTTAATAGCTTTAGTTGTTTATTGTTGTTCTCGGCAAATTAGGGATTATTACCATGTTTCTTTCGTTTTAGATTAACTTTGTTTAAATGAAATAAACCTTGTGAAATACCAACGCTATTTTGTTACTCAAAAAACCAACAAATTTATCTCTTTGGCAATGTGTGCTTATTAACTGTTAGGAAATTTATTACGATCTTTAACAAAGTTACCTATTAGGCATTTTTTAGTTTATATAGTCATTATCAGCAAGGACAGGAGCTGTAAACATGGACGAACTTTGTGTCGAAGTTGGTCATGCAAATGGTGCCTATTATAAAGTAAGAAGACAAATGAATTAACATTTCTTTTCATTTACTGACTGTGTTCGTTTAGGCATATATCTATGATATTGATCAAACTGGCATTGATGTTAAATATGAACAAGAGTAAGTGAAAAAAAGAAACTAAGTTCATTTAAAATATGATCAATCTCTGCTTTCTTTGCAGTTTTTTCCCACCGTCCAAAATACCATTTATTGAATGTCGTTGTCGTCTACCACCAGAATCGACTGATCTTAAAAAACTTCAACCGGGTGATCCATGTGAAGTAAGTTATGGTTATTCAAGTTTTTTGTTGAAGTTTTGATTTTTTCATTATGCACCATGTGCAAATTTCCCTTCCACGTTTTGGAGTGCTTTTTCTCAACGAAGATAGTAGAAGATCAGGAGCGATGCAAAGGGTTTCTTATTTTCATATAATCGAACATGAAAATATAGCCATGAATTCATAGTCTGCCTGCATAACAACAAATGTGTAATGTGCTAAACAATGATCGCCGTTCTGCATTTAGGTTTTATCCAAAGCTAAGGAAGATGAGCCTCTTGGCTGGTGGCCTGCTACTGCCAAAATGTTCAAAGGTGATTTTTTTGTTGTCGATTATAAAGTTAGTGCTCAAGGAGCCAGTTATTCCGATATTGTGTCCAGTGATAAAATACGTTGTCCGAACACAAAGTATGTTTATTTAGTTGTTAAAAGATCGCATGGTGTTTACTTGATCGTGTGGTTTTCATTTAGTCCAATGATAACTAGCTCAACCTTCAGAAAACTAGAGTTACCAGTTCCAAAAGAAAGTCAAGAAGCGTATGTCTTTGTGCTAGATAAAACCTGCTAGTGTTTGAATACGTCTATTATATTTTGTAGATGTACCAATCCAAACAATCATAAAGATTTTAAACGAACGACGGGTGCTGTTGTTGTGCGTTATGATCGAGCAAGTGAAAATTTGGTCATCATTGTAAGTTGAAGATGGAGATCTGTTTAACCAAGCCAAGCCTGTTCGTTCTTCCCTTGTTTGTTTTCAGTCCGACAAAGAAAGTGTTATACGTCATGCACAAATATTAAGTGACATGCATTTTAGAAATCTTCGTCAAAAGGCTAAACTTGTTTCAGAAACAGAAAAATACACCAAACAATTAGAGGTAAAAACCAGGGTAAATATGCAGACTATTGTTTTTTTTTGCTTAAAACTTTTACACTATACACCAAGCACACTTTTCTAGTACGTAACAATTTTGTTTATTAATTTCAGCGTATGATGGTGACTCAAACATCAAAGTTTGTCGAACAATTTACTATTAAAACAGACTTGATGGGTCTAGCAATTGGTACTCATGGTTCAAACATTCAAAAAGCAAGAGAAATACCTGGAATAACAGCAATTGAAGTCGAGGATGAGACCTGTACATTAAAAGTATTTGGAGAAGTAAGTTTAACTGTAAGAAACGATATTAGTTGATGTTCTTTTGCTCATTATTCTTTTCTTAGACGGAACAAGCCGTCAAAGACGCAAGAAGTATTCTTGAATATGTTGAAGACATTGTATTGATATCTCGAGATCTTATTGGTGAGTAGTAGTTGCTTTATTACAACTAAACAGAGAGATAGATTAGATTCACGCTTGTATCTATTTCGTCCATCATAGGTAAAGTAATTGGAAAGAAAGGACATATTATCCAAGAAATTGTCGATAAAAGTGGAGTTGTTCGAGTCAAAATTGAAGGTGATAATGAACAAACCACACCTCGTGAGGAGGTAACTTATTCTGTACGCATAACAAGTTTATAATTATTTTCCCTGTTCTGTTGTATTGTACGATTTCCTGTATAATCGACATATTTCTTTTTGTTTTTATCCATTAGAATCAAGTACCATTTGTATTCGTTGGTACAGCTGATAATATCGCTAATGCTAAAGTATTACTCGATTATCATATTGCTTGTCTCAAAGTAAACAAACTTTTTTTATTTTTTGTTCAGTATATCTGAACAAATTTTTGTTTTATTTCAGGAATTTGATGAACTTCAAGAAAAACGCATTCAAGTTTCTGAACAGTTTCGTACAATCAGTGGCACTGGTCAAGCAGGAGTGGGTTTTCAGGGTATGGGGGGACCCGGTAACAACATGGGTCGAGGAGGACGGTAAAGAGTTTAAAAAAGAAGATTATTTTGTTAGTTAGTTTTTTATTATCAACGGCTTTTCTTTAGATATGAGTCTGATCGAATTAGTAATTCAGGCAGTGTTCGTGGGGGTTATCGAGACAATAACTACCGTGATCAACAGCAACAACAAGGATTACAGCAACGTGGTGGTAGCGGTGGATATCAGCAACAGCAATCACAGCCTCAAAATCGTCCATTTGGACGAGGACGAGGTCGTCGTGGTGGCACTAATGCTTATAGAGGTGGAACACAAAGTGATATTGGCACTGGAGGTATTTAGATGCATATTTATTTTTGAGAAACTTTTGCGTTGTTTAAGGGAAGAAAAGCCTTCGAAAGATCCACGGGATCAATTAAAGCTACAAAAGGCAAAGTTGATTGGCAAAAAGGTTGTTGATGTTTTATTTGTTTCATTCAGATGAAGCAAGTGAATGTGGCGATTATGAGGTTAAATCACATAGAGATTGGGCTGCTACGGTTGAGAGTGAAACTGAATCCTTGCAATTGGATTCAACTGATTATAATACTGATACTATGAGCAACAGATCAATGGGTCGAGGAAATAGTAGAGGAGGTCGACGAAACTGGAAACGAGGACGACCGCCATTGCCGATAAGCGGTATGAAAATTACTACATTTCATCTAGACAGTAATATCACCATATACTTCGCTGAAATATATTGTAGAATATGCTTGATTTTTATAATATATATTCGTTTTCTTTTTCTCAATTCTCACTTTATGCGCGCATGCGGTTAGTCTTACTAACATACTAGTGCGATTTAGTTTAGTTAGAGAAACACAAGAGATTTTTGATGCGAATAAACAAGCATGCAAAGACTGATGTGCAAGCTCACAATGGTGATGGTTTGAGATTTAAAAGACACATCTTTTCATAGAATGCTTATTTAAATAATACTATTATTTATTCGCATGCTTAATATCGTATATGCTTAGTGGAAATATTTTCAAATATTTACTTTTTCTTTAGGTTTTAATGGACCTAGTCGAGGAGCTGGTGGTGGCAGACGACGTGCAAACGATAATGACTCGACAATGTTTGAATCAGAAGATTTAGCTGGTTAGTTTCACTTTTTTGTTTCTATGCAGTCTAGAATATTACAAAAATATAGATGTAGAAAGAGAGAAAGAGCTGCTTGATTTAACTTTGATATTAAATTTTAGCAACTACTAAGTCGAGTAAGTTGTGAATAAACGTAATGTAGAACCTTTCCTCGCATGCATTCTCACACCGAATACTATATGTAGCAATAATTCACCCTTCTAGAATATGAAGGTGTTGACTTAGAATGTTGTTCAGTACTACCTAAGTAATTTCAAAAAATTCATCGTTTTTCTTTCAGGTAGAAAGATTCTGAATGCATGCTGTTTCTATGCCTTTCTTTTCTTTTTTCCTACAGTTATGCTCAAAAATGATCTGATTTATTGCATGTAGTTCGTAAACATAAGTGATCATTAGTATCAGTTTCTTTATTTTTATTGTAGAAGGTAATGCATCACCCGACGATTCCTACGAACATCAAGAACAATCACAACAACAGCTACGCGGCTTTAATCGTCCTGGTAATAATCGACCACGTGGGGGTGTTGGAAACCGTAGTTATAATGTACAACGTATTCGCAATAATAATCATGAAGAATTTTATAATAATGCGGAAAGAGGCTACGGTGAACAACAACGATCAGCTAATGATTCGTCTAATCGCTCAGGACCTAAAGTAACCAGCAATCAACAAAATAAAAAAAATGGTCTTGATGGTGGCGATGCATCTGTTAAAAACAATAATTCCGACAATGACGTATTGAATGGAAATAATAATGATCCATCTGGTCCAAAAAGACAGCGAAGTCCGAAACGAACGAATACAACCAACAACAACAAACTAGATGGAAATCAACAGAAAAATAGTCAACCACAACAAAATGTAACAGCAACATCTCCAACAACTGCCACTATCAACGGTATTAAATGAATTTGAATTAACATCAAATAATAAAGCATTTAGGCAAGAAAAAATGGAACAATATGTTGGCAACGCAAAGCGATGACTTACGTTCCCACATGAAACCGCCGAGAACAGTATATACATACAAGATAGACACGAAGCAACAGACCTCTACGCTCTTTGAACACCCTAAAGGTTTTTGTTCCTTTTTGCTTGTTCATCTGTGTGTGTGTGTGTTTTTCTCTTTTCTTCTTTTCTCTGATTGACACTATGAGGATGCTAATATATAATTAAGCGAAAAATATATTTGGTAAAAATATTTCAGACACCCTTCACCATTCGGTGACGGAAAATGGTTTTTCGAGTTTATTGTTATTCTCTGTACATGTTCTCATCTTTGTTTGTTTTTTTGTTCGTCTGCAGAATTTAAACATGCGTGCTTGTTTTTGTGCTCGGACATGGTCTAAAAGTGAATGAAATTAAAAATATCGTGTATGCGTATCTTTGTTAATTCAAAAAAATGCAACTTTAAATTTATTGTCTTCCAAAGAACTCTAGTTGCTTCTGATTTGTGTTCTTTCTCTTTTCTTTTGTTCTGTGTGTGTTGGGAATACCTGACAATATATCCCTCATTTATGTCTTGTCTTTACCCTCCATTTTGGTTTGTGTATGCACGTGTTTTATCCTTGCAGAAGTTGTCCGTCTATTACACCCGATTATTTTTAACCGTATTATTGTCATATTTCATCCTCATCATGCATTCATTAAGTATCTATCTATTCGATTATTTACTTCATTTATTAGATCGTGTTGTTTCATTTGGTTTTTTTGCTGTTTTTTTTTCTTTTCTCTCGCGCCACTTTTTTTGCTCTTCTTTCGTACTATTCGTAATCGAACTCGTTTTTCTCGTTTTATTATTATTTCTTTGTTTATTGGCTTTTTTGTTTGATCGCGGACAAGAACAAATTATAACAGGAAATAGAAACAGATATACACACAAAGATTCATGTGCACATTTGTAAAATGGAACAGGCAATCCCTTACTTTAAATTAAAAATGTATGAGAAAAATGAAGTTTTGATATACATCATCCTGGTTAGATAAATATATAGTTTGCTATTTTAGAACAAAATCAGTAGATGGAAAGAACGATCATAGCAGCCATTATTAAACAATGTTAGTTAGTATAGTATATCGACCACAGCTGAAAATTGCAATACACTTCGAAGAACATTTATACCGACAATATGTTAATACTGGTTAGATTTGAGATAGTGTTAGTAAAAACATGATGAAAATATATAATAAAAGTTTATAACTAAAATATTATAAAAAGAAAATTTTAACAGAACTATTTTTTAGGAGTATATATTCTTTTTGTCACGTTGTCGGATGTTATTAAGGCCTTGTCTTTTAGTCGTTTATCGGATCTTTTTTTTCGGTGGACAGTCGTCACAACACAAGCTCAGCTTCTGTCACATCTGTCTCAATGTCTATAATAACTCTATATTATGTTATTCCAAAGTAGTTTTTCTCAACAGGTGTTTAGGTGTAAATGTCCTCTTTTGAGATTTAATAAATGTTTAGTCTATTGTCTATAACTGTTAAAGTGCACATTTAAAAACGTTTCTCATTTTTATTGAAAAGAGAATTGATCTGATGTATAGGCGCCAGGTTTATCGATTTGATTGATCAGGACTCATTTATGTGTATTCAAGAAAGAAGTTTATGAATCAAAAGACGTTTATTGCATATTTTTAGTACATTTGGCGTAATGTGATAATAGATTTCTAATTCGTGTGTACAGTTTCTTACTTCCATGCTCATCACGATGGCATCTAAATATGTAATTCTATTTATGAATCTCTATTAAGCTCTTTGTCTTCAACGGAGACTCAATACAAGTCGTTAAAAGTTGATTTTTCTTTTATTCTTACCTGAGAATTCTGCTCTGGAGGTTCTCTTCACTCTGCTTGTCTGGGCAGGATAGTGCACTAGTTAGAACTATCCAAGATGTCTATCGTTTTCCCAACGATAAAATCAATTTAGTTTTGATCTTCATTTTTAAAGTATATCGCTTGCTGTGAACGTAAGTATTAAGGACTTAAATGTTTCAGGGTTTTACATCAAAACAATAAGATTCTTAATAATAATAAAATAACGTTAATAAAATGTTGCTTGTTTTAATGAATCGATCCATTATTCTACGAAAGCCGACGTCAGACATTATTTTCATGTCTTAGAGAAACAATCTGCTACATAAAAACTTTCATGTGAGGAAAATATAAACAAAATCTGGATATCGTCAGATGTATGCTTTTTGTGATATATGTGTTCTGTTGGCGTAATTTCTACGTAAAATTCTGTCTATATAATACTCCATTAGAGATGTACAGTCTAACTATTTGAGTCCTAACTCTATCGTATGGAGACCTAATTCTAGTCTTAGCGCTTCGCAATTTTTTAATTTTCATTGCAAAAATAATGATTTTGCTCGGCCTTCTCCAGAATCAAGTGAGTACAATTGATTGTAACATACTGTCCATATATTCCCCCGGCCATAATAAGTGGAACACACCTGCTTATAGATTAATCCTCTATACAATGAAAGTTAGAGTTCATTCATATATCAGATATATCCCGTGCAATTACACGTCCAACCAACTCTGTTTCATCGATGACTGCAATAGTTTGCTGAGTAATAATACGAATATATCTAGGATACTCTTGTATGGCTGTAACAGAAATTTATTCTCATGCTTATCCCATTAAAGTTTTCTAGTTGTTTTTGTGTTCTTGGATGATGTGCTTACACCTTATGATGCACTCATCCCTATACAAGAGATGAAAGAAATGTCAGTCACTTGCTAACTCACACAGCCACAGAGAATCACTTACCATTCCCTAGTGGTGTGGGTTTGCATGTCTTCCCAAGCAAAATAGGTGGAACATATCTTTTTATTTAATAGTTTTCCAATACAACAACAGTGAGATCTCATTCATTTATACATATGTAGTTGGCAGAAATCCTCAGTCAAGGATCAATATTCCAACCATTGAATGCAATAATTCGCTGAACAATAGTACGAATGTATCCGATATACCCTTGGGAATGGTGAGTGATTCTCTGTGGCTGTGTAAGTGAGAGCTGGAACCGGTACCGAGCAGGACAGGGCTGGTAGAGACCAGTGTTTCACCGGTTGAAACTTTTGAAACATCTGCTCTTTTTACCCTGGTTTTCGTCCAAAACCTTCGCCAGGTTTTCGCCGGTTTGAGTTATAATTCCAACCGGCCGGATCGGATCGATTTACCTTTTCTCAACCGATTCTACCTCTGGTGTGAGTCAGCAAGTGACTGACATTTCTTCCATCTCTTGTATATGGATGGGTGCATCATAAGGTGTAAGCACATCATCCAAGAACACAAAAACAACTAGAAAACTTTAATGGGATAAGCATGAGAATAAATTTCTGTTAC